GGGGGTGGGGGGGGTTGGGTTTAGGGTTCTTGCTAAGGGCCGCCAATAGGGGTTACCGAAACATCGGAAATAGACTGTGTACGATGCTGTCCTTGCCAGGACAACTGAAAACAAGTTGCTGATACAACGCTGAAAAACCGATGAACACCATATACAAAAATCCTGCCGAGACCAGATGGAGTCTTATGACAACGGTGTAACGACCCTATTAATCAAACAAGCAGGCCTTTCATACATCCTTCTACAACAGGAGGGTCATAATCAAGCCCTCGAAAAAGCCGGTCAACAAGTATCTGCAGCCGAATGGCATCGGCCACAGCATCCTTGACCGCTCCCACTGCACCCTTCTCTTTGAAATCCTCCGGATGGTCTAGGGGTTTACTGGTTTGTTTAAGGGCCACCTTCTCTCATTCGGTTGCTCACGCTCGGACAGGCGAGGCATGTGTCGACTTGGTCTGCGATGGGTGAAAGAAAAGCTAGATCCATCATAACAACACCCTCCGAGACATAACAATCTCCTGTGAAGCTCCATCAATCGAGGCGTGTACCCAACATGTGCAGTGATGTTTTACATTATAGTGAACGAGCACCCTCTGCACCCTGCGGTTCAGATGGATTCCCCTTGTTGAGCAGACGTAGCATCACGAATCCCCGGCTGTCCGCCGACATTCTCACATGCACCGGACTTCGTCGAATTCCAAACTGAAAACTGAGACTGTTTGTTGCCAGTTTCTGATGCTCTCAGTGAGACATTCCAGCGCCATGCCATTTCCATCCACGCTGCGAGGCTGGTCTCTTTTTGAGCACAAACCCTTTATCGACTGCGCAGGAGACATCTGTGTAGCAGAACCGCCCCGCACTCGCTTACATCGTCCGCACCGGTCAGGAAAAGAGCCACCACCAAGAGAGGGGGGTGTTGGACTTAAGGGCTCTTAGATAAGCCAGTTTGGCGGTGTTTCAGGTTCGGAAACAAGGCTCGAAGGGCACAAGTTTGGGTCCAGAGATAAGATAAGCGCTTAGCTAAGGGTTTAGGGCAGCTAAGCGGGTCGACCGACAAAACCTTGACCAGGGGTTTAGGTGCAGGTCCAAAACATGGTGCCAGAAACAATGAAGAAGGTATGATTCTCAAATCGGTGTTTGTAAGGGTTTGCTTTGTAAGGAACCCGTTTGGTTCTCGGCTTTGAACCCTAGGCGAACCAGGCAGGCATCCAATCCTGCACGGTGAGAGCAACCTCCTCGCCGACGATGCCCTCGAAATGGGCCCAGATGTGTGGGGTTTACAATTTAGGGTTTGGGTAACAGTTCACGGTCTCAAGTTGAGCGTTCAGCACTCTGAGATTTCGAGAGTTTGGAAAGCGGAGGTGAAAGGGTAGGAGCTGCTGGCTAGATGCTCCTTGTGGGGAGTGGTGCTGGCCTTGGCTATCGGTGGGGACGATGGTGGTTCTGTCATAACCGATGTCGACTTCGCATTTGCCTATTCTTTTGCGACGGGGTTTGAACATGTTGTCTCGGCGTCGGCGTCGCTGCTGCTGCTGGTGCTGGTGC